AGGTAGGCAGGTAGGTGATAGGAAGGACTGCAGCTGTAGCTGATCTGAGTCCAAAGTCGGAAAGCTTTCATGGAAGAAGGGATCAACGTAACCCAAAGAAAGGCAGGATCCAACAAGAGGAATCTGAATCAACACCTACTACTGCTGCTGCAGGAGCGTAAGGTCAAGGGTAAGGACTGAGACTGGGATTTCCATCCCTTCATTTTACTGCCCCAACAGAGGACTGGGGAAGGAGGTACTGTAAAGAGGAACAGAGGATCTGCAGAGAGGTGAGGTCCTCTCCAAGTAGTTTTAGAGGAAGAGGATACCCAAAGCTCAACAGGAAGTGGGCAGGGGAGCATCCAAAAAGAGGGGGAGCTGGGACAGCACTTGTGTGGAAATGAGAGGCCTGCTTACCCAGCTAAATCATCAGCTGTGATCCCACCCAGTCCCATTGAATTCGAGCTGAATTAAATCCCATAGAACAATGCTGAAGAACAATACCACTTTGAGTTTTTCTTGCTCTTAACCATTAAAAATAGTCACGAAGCTATAGCTTGGGCAAGAGCTCAAACTCAGCCATGTCACTCAGCTGTGTGACTTTATTTCACCAAGCTCATTTTTCCCACTCACAATGAGACTAACAGTCATCATATTAGTCCATATTCCATGACTGTAACTTAATACCTGGAGCTAGGAAACTTCATAAAGAAAAGAGATTTATTCTAGCTCACAGTTCTGTTGGCTCAAGGGCTTGGTGTAGCCAGGGATATAGCTCAGTGACACAGCGCCTTCCTGGCAAACCCAAGGTCACGAGTTTGACTCCTGGTATAAAAAAAAAAGGTGGGGGGCGCTTGGTGTGGCTCTGATGAAGGCCCCAAAATGGTGGGAACACACATGGGAGGGAGAGAGATCACACAGCCACGCAGAAAGTCAAAGAATGACTCAGGTCAGGCTTGCTCTTCTGTAACAACTGCTCTCAGAAATAACTCAGGGTTCCTGGCAGCTACCTTACCTCCTTCCAGGACAGGCCTTAAAGACCTAAGGACCACCTGCTAGGACCCCCTCCCATCCCACATCCCATCAGCACACTTGGGGACCATGCCTTCAACACGTGGACCTTTGTAGGCCAAACCGCATCTCAGTGACCATAGCAGTCGAAAAATCTACTTTCACAAATCGATACGGCAATTACATAAGCATATGGTAACCACTCAAAACTGTTTAACATTCTATTAGTAAGAAACAATGAGAGGAAAATAAACATTTTCTAGCCTCAGCTTTATGGTTTACTGGCTTCTACGCTAATGCCATTAACGCTCAGCCAGCCCCCTAGTACCCTCTGTGGCCCAAATCAGAAGTGTACCAGGCATTTCCTCAGGCCTCAGGGCCGCTACAGAGACTCCCTGCACTCCCATTGCTTCCTTCCACCCTTCCCCCACCCCTGTGGAGTCTCAGAGGCCCCTTCAAGCCACTGGATTTCCACCCAAGCCCTAGCTTCCTGCACACCGTGAACAGTGCCTCTTATCCTCCTCTTCCTCACCTTCAGCAAGTTTCTTCTAAGAAGTTTCTTTTAGCAAAGTGTGGCATTCCAAAGCCATATTCCAGGAAAAGTCTCCACCCAGCAACACACATACCCAGGTCTGCGGGCCCAGTGACTGCCCTGGGTCAAAGTCTCAGGTTCACTCCTCCGGTTAGAAAGTGTTCCTATGCCTCCCGCATTATCACCAAATACTTAATTCCACACAGATGGTTCCAGAGCCCGTGCCTAGCTTGGCTCTCCTGTGAGTCACGCATCCCTGAAGAACCAGTTAAAAGTCCCTATACAGTCCATGAGGAAAATGTAAACCTTACTTAGCGGGAGGGTGGGGGAGGAAGGAAAGGAAAGGCCCTCCTCTTTCTCCACTTCACAGACCTCCTCATGCTGCCCATTCCCAGCACAGAGCACACAGCTGTCATCCTAGCTCATTCTTGCCTCAGGAGGCCTAGGCTAAGGGACTGCAAGTTCAAGAACAGCCTGTATAACTTAGCGGCTGAAAGCAAAAAATAAATAAATAAATAGATAGATAGATAAATAGGGGCAGAGTTTAGTGCATAGGGGAACCAGCCTGGAAAAGAAATTACCTTCTTCCCAGTACCTGCATATTCTGCTGTTTGCCCAGCAGGTCTTTCTATCATCTCTTCTTGCACTTGAGCAGCCCCTACCTAGTCCTAGACATTCAGCGCATATAGAGCATGGTCTTCAACAGCTTCCCTGAGGCTTTCCACCCTTGGTGCAGAGCAGCCGACACACACCTTGTATCAGCACTTCACATACTGACCCTTCCACACATGCACCAGGGACCACTCCCCTTCTTATCTCTGTACTCTCCGCCTACCCCGGCCGGCTCAAGAATGTGTATGCTTCGCTCACTGCTCTTCTATGCAAAACAGCTGCATCTCCAACCTCTGGTTTCACCTGCTGGTTTCTATCTTTTTTCCATTCAACCCAGCACATTTCTGGCATAAGAGGACTTCCCAATCCTCCCAAGCTACACTGTCCTTGGCCAAGACCCTCTCGTGATTCCGACACCTTCAGCCATCATTTGAAAGCAAATCCAATCTGATTCCTCCCCCATTCCCAACTATCCCACTCCAGTTACACAATGGGTAAAGCCACGGGTTACCAGCAAGAGTCACAGTTGGGTTTGTACTTTTGAGTACATCCTTAGTGAAACATGTAACCCTGCGCAAGTGACGGCAGTGCCGCCAGGCTTAATTCTCCGAGGAGAGCTGAGATTCAAATGAAATAGCTGATGGAAAAGTGGTTTATACAGTACTCTGGTACATTCATAAAGGACATGATTAACAAATCTTATCAAATTTAAACCACTGACTGTAAGATGTGTCATTACCAATTTAGAATGAAAAATAACTGTTCAAGTGTGACACATCTGTTATTATAAGGCAACCGGATTTCAGTGATATTAAAACATGAAAAAAGAGTGTTTTAAAGCAGATTTAACACAATCAATTCATCTCAACAAAAACATGAACCTGGTATAAAATTTTCATATTTGCCAGTGATGCATAATACTTAGTAACATGTGTCAAGTGAATGAAAAACACCCAGTGATAATATTCCTAGGCCAAATCACCACCTCTTGCTGGAAATGGGCAACAGGAAGCTTCCCAAGGCCAATGCTCCTGTCCAAATCAGGTCCCAGCCTGTTCAAAACCCTCATGTGATCATTTTAAATTATAACCAAACTCGATAGCCTGGCATTTTTAAAGCCCCTTATAATCAAGTCTCATGCCCCACCTTTTGTCACCTACGAATGTCTACTTGCCTCTGAGGGATCACATCTCCACTAGAACGTGTCACTTGGTTCCTACTCAGTGCCATCCTGTCCCCAAAGCCAACTCCATAGGCTCATGTTGCTTATAGGGACTCCAGCCCAACGGGGCTATCTGATCATTGCACTCCCACCACTGGACAGCTAATCCCATCTCTAAAGTTTTGGTGTTGGAATTGAGGCTACCTTGCAAAGATTAAATACAGGAGACAATCTCTTTAACTGCCCTTGACACCGGCAAAAACCCTACAGGAAAAGTTTTTGAAGGAGAAGAGAGAAACCTCATCACTGGGTGCTCTGCACCCCCAGCTCAGCCCACCATTATTCACCGTAAGCTCTAGGGCTGGCACAAGCTTCTGTAGACCTTTTTGGTTTCCTTGTCTGTAAGAGTGAGGGCAGGTAAGGGTTAGAGTTAGCACTTTCTAAGCAAGTCCCTATCTACTTTTTCTCCCTTCCCCCAAAGGCTTTCTTAAAACGCACACGTGCAAGGAGAGGTAAACCCTTAAGTCACTAACATCTTCGTGAGAAAGAGTCTTATTGGAGAGGAAAGAATTTTAGTAAAAGGGGAGGAGCCCCAAAGAGAAAGGAGGGGGAAAATGAGGTTGAGTCTGCTGTGAGAAAAGCCACTCAGAGAGGACCCCAAGGTTTTGCTACTGTGTTGGGTGGGGGGTGTCCTGAAGAAAGGGAAGCTAGAGAGATTTTTCAGTTCCCTTAGGTCCCTGGGGTCCCAAAGACACGCCCTGTCCAAGCACCTAGGCACAAATCCGCTGATTAGCTCATCTCACGTTACACCCCCACCCCAGACCTCACGGCCCCAACAGAGCACCACGTGCGGCTTGATCTTCACTCCCCACCCATTATTTCGTCTTCTCGGTCCGCAGTTAGGGTGACCTTCCCCACCACTAGCTGGCTTCAGGAAACTCCCATCCTTCAAAAGTCCTGACCAAGCACAGCCCTCTGGAAGAGTCATTTCTGGTCCCTCTCCAGGGACCAAAAATTCAAATTCTTTCCCCGGAACCGCCTGTTTAAAACTTTATCCAACCATTCCCCCACCCCCAGCACTTAGTACTTCCCACTTGGGTCAGGTTCGGCTCCTTTGCCTCTCTGAGCGCTCCTCTCAAGGGAAGGGCTGGGCCCACCATACCGATCACAGTGCCTGTCACACGGTGGGGACTCGAGAAATGCTCAGGGCCAGGGAACTAGGAGTCCTGGCTCGTCTAGGGCAACTGTGGCCGGGCCTCCAACGAGTGACTTGGGGGAAGACCGTCCTTCTCTCGGGGCCTCAGTTGCCCTCGCCGTAGAATGGGAGGACTCGAATGACTGTGTCTCTAGGCCCTTTCCACCGTGACAACTGTGATTCCGCGAAAGCTCCCAGCGACTAGGCGTGGCCCCGCCCCCTGGGCGCCCAGAAAAACCCGGGTCGGGGGCGCGCAGAGAAACTCTCCAAACCGCCCGGGCCCCCGCAGTGGACGCTTCCCCCAAAAACCCCGGCCCCTCCCCCACGGCGTACACCCCGTGATTGGGCTGCGGCCGGCACTTCCGCACCGCGGGCCTGGCGCCGAGGCAGGGCGCTGTGCACCCCGCGCTCCTGCCACCCCAGAGGCGCTCCCGCCGCCCGGGAGGACCGGGGTTCCCGAGGCACCCGCGGGCGGAGGTGGGGGGAGGAAGGAGGGTTTGCAACAATACCTCGGTGTGGAGGCAGACGGGGCAGCGGCGGCGGCGGCGGCTGGAGGCGGAGGCAGGGCGGAGGAGGTGCCCGGGCACTCCCCCTCCCATTGTCCCCAGCCCTGGACAGGCCCGGCCCCGCGTCCTGCACGGCCCGCGGAGCACACCGCCCGCGCCCTGCGCCCTGCGCCCCGCGCCCCGCGCCCGGGCCGAGCAGCCAGCCCTTACCTTGCAGCGCCTGGGTCTGCCCGCTCGCTAAAGCTACTTATCCCGGGAAAGCTCGCGCGGGGCCCGGGAGCGAACCCACAGACAAAAAGTGAAACTTCGGCAGGGCTGGAGCGGCTGCTGGTTGGTGCCTTTCCCCCTCCTTCCTCCCCACCCCCTCCCCTCGGTCTCCCGTGCGGTGCCCTGAGCGCTGGAGGCTGACGTCAGGGGCCTGAATTCCTGACTTTGCTTGCACGCATTTGTCCATGTAAGGTATGGGAAGGCGTGTGCCCGCGGGGCGCCGCGCAGCTCGCCGGGCGGGGGAGGGGAGGGGGCGCCCGGGGCGCCGCTGCTCGGCAGAGGTGGGCGCACCGAGGGCTCCGCAGCTCCCGGAGGAGGAGGAGGAGGAGAAGGAGGAGGCGCGGGGTCGGGGGAGCGTGCAGGGAAGGGAGGGAAGGGAGGAGGTGTGGAGGTTCTGCCTCCTCTGGAGGAAGAGGAAGGAGACGGAGGAGGAAGCGGCCGACTGGAGGGGGCTGCTGGAGAACCGAGGCACTTGCCTCCGCAAGGAGGGCGCCAAATTAGAAGGCTGAGCCGGAGCGGAAGCGAGCCTGCCTGGGAACCCCCAGCTCTGCTCGAGCCTGCTCGAGAGCCCCGCCCTGGCTTCCCTGCGAGACTCCCAACTTGCGGGAGGTTGGAACTGGCAAACACCGGATTGCTGCCTGTCCACTTCACACACGTGCGAACGCTCAGGAGGAGACTTGTACCGGGTCACATGCTCCACAGATCCCGAGCGGGACAGGGTCCTGCCTCCCAAAGGGAGTCCTGACTGTCCCCTTGCCCGGAGCCTGAAACCAGGTTAGGAGTCAGCTGACCACGCGGACCACCCAGTGATTTCACCCTTCCCTGGGCCCCACTGCCAGCTCCTGGAAGGTTCTGGTTACCAATGCGTCCTGAGTAGCAGTGACAATTAGTTGCTTCAGGGTAACTTTCTCTGTGTCAGTGAACCCCTGGAGTTTAACGTTTACTCCCCAGCCCTGTCCAGGAGTCCAGAAAGCTTGCTGTGTGCTTTTATAATTAAAAGAAGAAGAAGTCTACAAACTGGGTGAACAGGTTTGAATAAAGACAAGCCCGTTCTTGGAAAGTCTGAGTCGCTGTTTTTCTTCTGACATTCGTGAATGTGAGCTAGAGTGGGAACCACCACTTACCACCACTTACCCGGTGGTGGGGTTATTGCCTAGGAAGCACCGCCAGACCTGGGACTCCCTTTCCTGTGCTTCTATCCTGTGAGTTTCTAGAAGAATATCTTTACCCGCAGCACACCATAAAAGTACCTTTTCATCCGTGTGTGTACATCTTCCGGTGAAGTGGATTGGAATCATTGTAGTCCTTTTACATTCAAAGGAAAAACTCTGTTAAAATGACTTCCAGCACAATATAAAATAACTGAGTATCTTAGTTACTTTTTCTCACTGCTGAGACAAAATACCCGACGCCCAAAATGAAGGAAGGAAAGGTTTATTTAGCTCACAGTCTGTGGAGGTTTCAGTCCATACTCAGCTGGCTCCAAGGTGGAGGCTGGGCACAGCGGCAACAGTTCATGGCGGTGGAACACAGCAAAAGCAACAAGAGCAAAAGGGAGAAGCGGGAGAAGAGACTCCCTGCCTTACACTGTATGCAAGCTGCCCACCCCAGGGCTGTGTAGCGCTCACACCCATAATCTTAGCACTGGACCATGGTTCAATCACAAACTCCAGCAGCCCGCCCCATGACTGCATGAGGCTTTAAGGGACATTGAGACACAAATAGTAACACGGAGGGAGCATAGGAGCTCGTTTCCCTCACCCAGGTCAGCCAACCCAATAAGCCCATGATCTACCCTGACCACCAGCAGGACTCCCCCGGCAATTATGCCTGCTGGGGGTAGATTTTGGTAAACTTTTTGACCAAGAATTAAGGAAATAAATGTTAAAAACACACGTTATTGGATCCCTTAATTCAGCACCTCGTTTATGTAGTCTTTGAACCCAGATGTTCCGGGTTCAAATTACTTCTTTGTTCTCCACTCTCATCAATATATAAAAATAAGCGTACAGCATCCGAGAGGTGAGGTCAGAGTATCGACCCATTCCACAGAAGAGTGAAATGTTTTTCTCTTTACAAGTAATGTGGTTTAAAATGGGAAACACGCACTCCTAACTGAATTTTGCCTTGAGATTTTGGAAAGATCAGATCCTATCATGACTCAGTTCATTCACTGTTAAACATTTCACCAAACCCACATCCTGAGTACTATTATGAAAAAGTCCCAGTATCCCATATAGTAAGAATGTATTCACCAGATACTCATCAAATATAACGGGAACTTGACCGGCATTTCTTTCTTTTTTTTTCAGTAACCCACTTATAAAGAATAATAGGTTTCTAATGAGGATTAATAAAATTTAATAAGGTATAATTAGAATCATTCATTTCCTCCTTCATACACATTATAATGGAGCTGTAGTGGGCCCAGAAATGCGGCTAATCATGTTGAAACGGTTGTCTGGGTGTGCTGGAGACCATCACCGGGGTTCTCCCGAGAGATTTATGAATTGCTCAGGTAGGCACGGTGTGAGCATGAGTACTGTATAAAGTTAATCGCAAAAGGCAAATTTCAACTGGGGATGCCCTCAGTGAAAGTGGAAGTGACGAATCATAAACTGGATGCTTGGTGAGCCACACACGGTACTGCCAGCAGCGGTAACCCAAACCAAACGCTTCATCCTCTTGGGCTGTTCTGGTTTCTTCTGCAGGCTTGCTCTCCTCAATATACTAATAAGGCTCACTGTGCACAAGGGTATTGAACCGGAAGGGAAAGTGTGTGAACCGACAGGCATAGTGCTAGAAGAGAGAGATACGGGATTTCCAGTTCAAGAATAAACAAACTCTAGGTGGGCCGGTTTTCTGAATACTGGTTGACCGAAAGCAGGGAGCAGCAATATCATTGATCCAGTGACATCACAAAGATTTGTAGGCCGGGCTCCTTCACTTAACCCTCACACACCTTTGGAGATTGGTGTCATCTGTCTAGGAAGTTCATGAGTGAGGAAACTAAAGCCAGGGGAAAATTCAGAGGCTTGCTCAAAAGTTAGTACTTGGGTAGCCTGAGATTCTACCCTGAGCCAAGGCGGCCTAGCTCCTGGGCTTTCTTTGGTGCTGAGTGACCATTTGATCTCAGTTTCAATACTCTATCATGGGGTATTCAGGATTTTTGAAATTGGTCAAGAGCAAATGCATGAAGAGGCTCCTTCAAAAACAGTAAAGGCAACAGAGTTTTGGAAGATGGAAGGTTAAAAAAACAGTCTGATGTTGCCTCTCCCCAGTTTATAACGCATTAGACCAAAGTCAGTATTGTTTGAAGGTCCCATCCTGACTTGGCAGCTATTTGATTCTTCAGGGTTGTTTCTGCCGGGCTATATATTCCCAGCCAATTAAAATTGTAATCATCTTGCAGCTACAGCTTGTTACTTCATACTGGGTATTGAACCCATGAGTTACAACGCCATCCCTTTGTAATATCTTTTTTTTACTTTTGAGATAGAGTCTCACTAAATTGCTAAGTTGTCCAAACTGAACTGAACTTTCTATCCTTCTGCCTCAGCCTCACAGAGTGCTAGGATTACAGGTATGTTGCCACCACGCCTGACTTCCAAGAACGTCTTATCAACTCTATGCTTATTTGCCTTTGCCCAGGTTCCTCTCTCTCAGGAACCTTCTTTCTCTGTTCACCTGGCAACTCTTATTCAACTACCTCTTAATTCTCATCTGAGAGCTCCTCAGAGAGCTCCTCCTGTGCCCTCCCCAACCTACTCCTTGTCCTGACAGTGGTCTTGTCACTCTGTGTTTAGAACCTTAGTCCAGAAGTCCTTGCTGTTGCATAACTTGTCTTACTTCACTGAAAGTCTGTCCTTAACATACTGCTTTAACCTTCATAGGCATGCAAATATTTGAGATTTTTTTTCCTTACTGTTGTTCCTTTGCAGAAGCAAAGGAAGACGGAGGGCCTGAGTGTTTAAACACAACTCGATAACTTCACCAGGAGATGAGATCTGGTTACAAGCAGGTCCAAGGGAAGGGAGAAGAATCAGAGAAGCCCAGCCATTTGAAAGCAACACAAAGACTGCCCTGGGGAGGAGCAACGGAAGTTAATCATCCCTGCCTTGCTCTGAAACTGCTGCGCCCCTTCCCTGCAGGTCATTTCCTCCATGTTCTCAATTTCTTTACTGGTAGAATTAGGTTCTTGTATTTAATGTTCTCCAACTTTTCAGTTTGACACTACGTCCTACAAAATTCATCCTCCCAGAGCACAGCATGCTATAGTACACTCCACAATTTGTAAAGGTTTCATAATATCAACCAGATTAAGCACAAACTGTTTGGCTGATTTTCCCACATTCACGAGCAGCTGTTTATGGGCTTATCCAAGTATAGGCTGTACCGGCACATACCTCACCACACAAAACACACACACACACACACACACACACACACACCATCTTCCATGTCCTGCCCACTGCCTTTTTCTCATTCAGTTTTCTCCTCTTACTGAACCTAAAGGACTTGCTAGTCCCATATCCACAAATGTAGGTTCTACCTGTCCTGACAGCTGCTTCTGGAGAAAGCTCTTCCCTGTTGTCCAGTCTTCGATATCCCTCTAGTGATATGGAAATAATTTCTCTAACTTCTAAAGGACATGGTTTATTATGCCATGGCCCTGCAATTTCATATGTATTGCATGCCCTCCTCTTTAACACAGATCTTTCAGACTAAGTCACGTGGTTTGTGCCTTTCTCCTTAGCCACCAAGGTAGTACGTGGCACTTGAAACCTTAAAACAAAGTGCCTGACACACTCAATTTAAAAGAAGAGAAAAAGGGGCTGGGGATTTAGCTCAGCGGCAAAGCACCTGCCTGGCAAGCGCAAGGTCGTGAGTTCAGTTCCCGGTACCGGAGAAAAACCAAAAAATAAAAAAAAAAAAAGAAAAGAAGAAA